GTACACTGGCTTTAATAATCAGGAAACAGATTTAAACAAGACACTTGATAATCTGACTAGGCTGTAATTTGAGAATGTCATATCTACCTTATGATTAGGAAGGCAAACATGAGTTTAGCCATCATAATAGATTATTAAGATATCTTGGATATGCAAGAAATCTTAGCAGTTGTACAAATTTAGCAGTGCGTATTATAGTACACACACAAAAATGTATGAATGAAATATGATTGAGAAATATGGATTATAGTAATATTTATAGTTAAAGCAAGAAAAATTGTGACAATAGAGAGCTGTCTGAATGACTGCATTCATCAGTCCTATTAGGTTACTATGATTAGGTTCATTTTGTGTTTCAAAAAGGACCAAATCACATACAATATTATCCTTCAACATGATTCTTAAATGATTTGGACTTTATCCTGGCATTATGATTTCTCTCTTTTGCTTTGGAGCTATTTTAGATTTGGAGTACTACTGGGTGGTCTCCATTTTCTATCCCACATATTCCATGAGCTTCAGTAATTCCACAAATAATCTACCATTACCAGAAAGATACTTTCATCCATCTGCCTTCAAATATATCATAAGCTACACTGGGATTTACTGGATGTTGCACAGTCAAGTTTTCCCTTGCAGGACTGTAAAGTGGGCAGGCCCATTGGCAGCTACTGTGGGATGGAGATACAGAAGACACTGAATGGAACTGTTTTGGCTGCTAGGAATAGTTCTGTCCCCCTGATGTTGGGGAGAAGCTGAAGGGAGGTCATCCTGAACAATACTTCTTTTCAGGCAGAAGGGTTGCATGAACAGCTCTTAGGCGGCTGTGACTACACAAAGCACCCTGTCTTCCTGTGCAGAATAGCTGCATTATTGTTTCAGTCAGGTGGCGGGCTGAGGCCTGCTTCTGGATACGTAGGCACGAACTAGAACTGGCCCTGTGCTGGCACAGAGATATCACAGTGGTTGATGGGAACAAACTTTAATCAAATCTGTTTGCCTATTTTTATCTTGCTCTCTGATCCTGATCACTTTCTCCAACTATAAGTTTTCAGAATAATTAAGTATTTTCCATTTTAAATTTAACAGATTGAACTATCAGAGTGACTCCTGGTTTGATCTGTTTGCAGCTATTCTGTCCTGATAGTCTGGATTCAAGAGGTATCTTCCAGCTCTTAACCATGTTTGAGAAACAGAGCATTGGTTCATTTGTGAGGTAGAGACTTCCTTTGTATTGTGGTATCAAACTGATAGGGAGCTTTATTCTTTGTCTGTTTCATATCATTCCTCCTGAGTTCTGCATTCTTTTTATTTTACTATAAAAAAAACTCTAGACCAGGGGTAGGCAACCTTGGCTGTTTTATGACTCGTGGACTTCAACTCCCAGAATTCCTGAGCCAGCATGGCTGGCTCAGGAATTCTGGAAGTTGAAGTCCACGAGTCATAAAACAGCCAAGGTTGCCTACCCCTGCCCTAGACCATTCCCACTTTCTTTCTGCCTTCACTGTGATGTCTTCACCTTACTTTGTTACTGGCAGTAATTCATATTGTGAGATCCGCAGACTAAATTTCAGCACTTCTTAATTTTCACATGTGTTATCAATCAAATATCTAGTATGGTACTTACAGTGTAGTTTATTCAACTTTCATGTGTTTAATTAAAAATGAGGCTAAGATTCTTAAGCTTAAAAATAGCTATACCCCAGAAAGTATAAGGTAATTAAAACAGGAGCAGGTTAACCCAGGCAATTAGAATTGAAATAGTTTATATTTTTATTGCTGTTACAATGAAACATTGACTAGAAAAGAACTTCAACACAGTGAAATACTACCAGTTTCATGCATCAAAATCGTAATGTTTCTAAATCAGATAGTTTCACCTGTCTCAGTAGATCTTCTATTTTAGTAAAAGTGCTGAGGCCAGTTTTCCCCACACTGATATTTTCATGTATCCTCTTTTGGAAGAGGTAGAAATGAAGAATGTTTACCTTTAAATCAGGCACCTTTGAAAATAAATCCAAAGCATAGGTGAAGGGTGTCTCTCATTCTATAAGAGATCTGACTATGCATCCTGTAGTAAAAGTGTACAAAACATTTATCATTGGCCATCCTGGCTATAGAAAGAGCAATTCCAGGAGTTCCAACACAAAACAAGCCATTTTAAAGTCAGATTTTCTATGACAGAACTTTTGTGTCCCTATCCTGTATTGTTTTAAACCTCTGGAAACTGAAACAGCACAAATGTGATAATCTTTCATAGTTGATAGTATCAAAAACTACTTATACTGACTGAAATTCTGAAGAGTTGCAGTCTCAAAATTTTTGGAGGACACCAGATTTGGAAAGTAAGGCTATCATGATTAATAGTTGATACACAAAATATGTAGAGTAAATAAACTAATAAAAAGGCAAAACAATGGAAAATCTGGATCTCCTATTACTTTAAAATACAATCTTATATCTGGATTTCAGGGTTAGGGTTGAGGAGCCATTATCTTAGCATAAGCTACCACGGAAACATTGAATGGGACAAATCTTACTGAGGGCAAGGATGGATGACATTGTTTTGTTCTGACATGACAACTAGCTTCAGTTATGCAGAGCTGTCCTCAGGATTGACCCCATACCTTTAGCTTCTCTCTTCCTGTTATAGAAAGTGATTGATGTTGATTTTTTTGCAAGCCAAATTTAAACTCTTAAGTTGTTGCAATGTCTAGGACTCTAAGCAATACAGTATAGAACCATAGTCACCTTTCAAAATGTTCTGAATTGAATTATGATAACAGATATTACTGACAGAATAATAATCTACAACATATTTGGAAATATAGCTATATAAATATAAGACTTGATTTGGCAAAGAATTCTATTTTTGAAATTTATCATTATTTCATACACAGTTATAGACAATTGGCAACAAGAATAAAAAGATACTAATTGATATAGATTTTTATTTTCTACAGAAGAGCTTAACTCAGTATTTTAAATTATTGTGATATAAAGGCTAATTTTTTTGCTTCTCTTGTGAACTTGGATAGTTCTGTTCAGTGAAACCTTTTTTTAATAAATGTTAATTAATTTAAGGAGATTTTAATAAAAAGTTTTTATTTTCCATTTATTCAACATATACAAAATTCAGTTTACAAAATAAGATAAATTTAAAAAAAAAGGAAATTTTGTAGTTTTAAATCTTGGCCTTCCTCCCTGTCCACACCTACGCTTGTTCTTCCCCTCCTTTAAAGTAATGATATTTTGATTATTTCAATTATTGGAGTAATTGTTTGATGCAATAGTAAACAGAAATTGAAAATTAAAATCTCACACAGTTTGGCTAACACATTAATCAAGTGACTGTATCAGGAGATAGACAGACAGACAGACAGATAGATAATGTGCCAAATAGGAGGTAGAAATATTAGGTATAGTTGCTGCCTTGAGTTGTATATAAAAATAAGCAGGATAAAAATATTATAATAATAATGGTAAAAAAAAAGTCTGAATAGTGGGTATTATAGTACCTGGAGAGGGTAGAAGAGAAAAGAAAGAACTGGGGGGGGGGGAATCACAAAATATAAAGACCTGCAAATAGAAATAGAACAACTGTGGCAAAAGAAAGCAAAGATAGTAAATAGTGATAGGCTCCAAAACATCTGAAGCACCACACGAACACCATAAGCATTAACAAAATCACCATCAGTCAATTGCAAAAGGCAACTTTTCTTGGAGCTGCTTACATCTTGCAATGATACTTTTAATATTAAACAACAAGATTTGCCTATACCAGATCTTTGGAAAAGACTCAATAGTCTTTAGATCGATAAAAATGCCAAATTCAGTCTAAACATCTGGCTGACTGTGCAACCAACTTTATAATGTAACTGTCAACTCTTAGCAACCACAAAGTTTTTGTGGGTATGGGTGTCCATGCAATACACATTCTTTTATTATTTTATAAAGCAGGATAATTTCTATAATTGGGTTTGGTCAAAGTATGAAACACATCAAAAATAAGCCAAGCATAAGCCATTATGTTGGTTCTGCTATCATAAGAAGCCATGACTAAAACAAGCAACAATTTGTGGCAAACAAGGAATTATAAAAACTTACGTTTGTTGTCCCCAAATAAACCACTGTTTATAAAGATCCTTCCCCACAAAAACCAACTACATATGGCATAATGTGAGGGAGGCAATCTTATAGCCACAAGCTGCATTTTAAAAATAATGTCCCCAATGACCACAGGAATGATATCTGGTAATGTAATAGTATTATCAGAACAGATGCAGCTGGAGTATTTGGCTCCTGTGGTTTCTTTATAGTGGGTTTCAAAGTGTGACACAGGTGCCTTAATCTTAACACACAACCCTTAGATGAAAATTTCACAGTGGGATACCACTTGGCACAATGTTCAAGCAATTAGGTCAAAATTTTAGTCCACTGAATGGAAATTTTCCACTTCATTCAGCTCTTCATGTTTGCAATAAATGGACAGAGATTCATCTCAATTTTGTGACTTTTTTTCTATGACAAGTTCAAGAACCTCTCATCATTCATTGTTAACTTTTTGGAGTTGCATTTGGTGGAGAATATCATTGTACAAAATACGATATCCCATTATCATGAAATTGTTACCTGTTACCTATAACAGACAATTTCACTTAAGGCCAAGTGTATTCATGAGAGGAATTAATACAAAATTCTGGCACAGCATTGCTAAAACATATTCACAGAACCATTATATCTATGATGGGCTGGTCCATGTGCTTCATTACTTTGTACCATGTAGCAAATGGGAAGGGGTTTAACAACGTTTAGAATCCTGCACAGATCCAAGACAATAATTATATGTGTATTTTACTTTAGAGAAGGGTTGTAATCTAGGAAGCCTTTTTGCACTTAAGCAAAAAAAAAAAAAAAAAAAGCAACAGCTCAACAGGTACAGATCTCATCTCCCCTGAGATGGTACAGTCAAAGCTGCCACTTGCCCAATGTAAAACTTAGGGCCAAAACAGGATGAAGAGAAGGATGGTGAGGATTTATTATTGAGTTCAACCTATAAAGTCCTAACCTGGAGTCGGTAGCTTCTCCAACTGTATCAGATGAGTGAAGGCAAAACGGATTAAAAAAACAAAAAACCCACCATTACCGAAGAACGACTTTATAAGGAAACGATGAAAAGCCATCGTGACTTCTACCTCCAAGGATTCTCCGCACGCCGGTTGCGAAAAAGGAATCTTAACACAAAACGTTCTGTCCCTGTTACCCATTCGGTGTGTCAACTGGGAACTCGCACCTCCAGCAGGTGGTGGAGTTTCCCGCCCTCGCTGTTCTTCTGAAGTCGCGATGGCAAGGGGGAGTTTCGGGGCGGCACGACGGTATCGCCTGGAGCTACGGCACGGCAGCGAAGGATCGCCCCGCCCCAACTACCGTACTCTGACGCGAAGGTGAGGAACTGCGCGCAGCGGCGTAGGTAGCTCCGAGTTAATCATTGTCCCGCAGGCAGGAGTTGCTTCGCTAGCTCTTCTGGCAGCCCCTCCTTGCGGCTCGGAGTCTCCACCTCCGCGGAGCGTTGGTGACCCGCCTGCTTTTTTTTTTTTTTTCCTCCCCCTTCCTCTTTTCCCTGCTAACGATCTTCGGTCGAGAGAGCTTCCTGCCTGGCGGATCGTCTAATTTCAGCCTGGGCTTTCGGCGCGCTATCTGGCGGAGCTCTTTGACCCGGGTCGCTGGCCGCATTTTGGGAAATCGGGTGAGTTTTCCCCCCTCTCTTCCCCAAAAGGAATTCGGGAGAGCCGCCCCTTTCGCGGCTGGGTTCGGATCCGATCCGCCAAAGTTCCCAGCTCCCTCTTTATAGGTGCACCGCAGCCGGATTAGGAGGGTCAATGCAGGCTCTTTATTACGATTAAGAGGATTTGCTTCCATCTTTCTTCCTGCCGCCCCTTTCTCTTGGCATCGCTGCATCCCCGACGAACGCAGGTGGTTTCCCTGCGTCCTTGCCGCCCTAGTGGACACCTCCTTTTCCAGGAATTATTCAGAGTCGCTGCTCTCTGCAGTACCTTTACCAGCCCACGCGGAAATCGCTTTGTGCTGTTACCTTTACGCGCGCTTGATGACCCGTTAGGGAAGGCGTGAACTTTTTTTTTTTTGTCCTCTCTTGCATTTGGTTCGTAGTCTCGAAATCAAAGTTACTTCCCGCGCGTCCGGAATTCTTTAGACAGCTGTTGCTTCCACATCCGCACGGAGCTGGGGAACCTTACGAAGAGGGCGTAAAAGTACAGTATTGAATTTCCTGATTTTTGGTTGGGAAACTTTTGTCTATCCATATCTTTGATTTAAAGCGCTGCCGAAAAGGAACGTGGGCGCTTTAAATAAAAGTTGATCGATCACTTAACGTATTTGATGAACAAAATTCTCTGAACAAGCTGCAGATCCGTGGAATTTGGAAGGATTTTCCCCTTCAAAGTTGATATAGGATCACCGGCTAGTTTCTTTCAAATCCTCCCCCCCCCTCCGTTTCCAAATTGGTTTCCTCCAGGTTGAGTTGGGGCTACAACTCCCAGAATTCCCAGGATTGCCATATATTTGAAAAAAGAGCTTCATAGTGGTCAGGAGCATAGGAATCGAGGCGTTCGATTGTCGTGGATCAATTAATATGAACTAAATCTATGTAGTAACGCTAGCAGTGGCTGTTTCCAACAACAACAATAAATAATTAGATGAGGCTAAAAAAATTGGACTGGAGGGGACACTTGATAGTTTGTTAATCTGAAGATAATATAAAGAACATTTGAGAGGGAGGAGGGAGGGGAGTGCTTAGAACTGAAAATTGCAATTCTCGATGTCTCCTGCTGTTCAGGAATGTTGTTGTGTCAGATCCGTGCAGACATGTGTTTGCAATCCCTTCTATGAAACAACCTGATCAGTAGCTCTGAAAATCACCTCTTGCCTGCCTGGAAACCAGTTCCCATCTTGAACCAGCCAGTCTGGGTTGCTTCTGTTTAATGCAGGGACTCTCAATCCAAGAATTTATTTTAAGGACGTGCAAGTAGGGAAAATATGGGTTTGCACTTCAGGTTAAGATATAACAACCCTTTGGGGCTCAGCATGAATGATTGGAGTTTATAAACCCAAGTTATACTGTAGCCTAGACAATTGCCACTTTATTTAGCTAATAGTGATTAAGCCATAGTTTAGCATGTAAAATAAAGCTCTTCTATTAGTGCATGGATGTATTCCGGTATTTATTATGTTACATAGAATTCTTCATTAAATGTAATCAGTCCTGTAAATGTTGTTGTTCTCATTTAGATACTAATTTAAGGAAAAGAATTGTATGGAACAAATTGAAAATGATGAATATAAATGCAAGGGCATGGCAGTAATTTCTGCAAGCAATCAAATGCTTGCAAACGGAACAATGCTGAATTAAATTATTTTAATAAGATAATCTCTGGGTTAAGTGGTATTTCACAAGCATGTCCACAGTTTTCTTGACAGCAGTATGGAAATCAGTTCCCTTGGATTTGGGGGGACAATGTTTTGTGTGTAGGGTAGGGCGTTGTTATCTTTGCAAACCAGGGATTTCCTATCCTGTCTAAGTAGAGGCCTGATTTTACCTTATTTAGTTTCTGAGATCAGCCAAGGTAAGGTTAGGTACTGTCAAGCTTTTGTCCTCATGGCTGGCCTCACCCTACTTTTCTGAGAGAATACAAAACCTAGTCTTGGGGCTTTCACTTGGGTGTTCTTGAATAAGTATATCATCATTACTCTATTATATTATCAATGAAATATGTTTTACAATTACTTGTCAATAGATAGGTTTGCAAAGTGTGTAAAATGGTGACTGGTAATTTTAGTAAAAGTGCTTTTCAAAAGGCAAGTGGACTTTCTTGGATTTTTTTTCCCTTGAAAATGTTTTGCTTCTCATCCAAGAAGCTTCTTCAATTGAGTATTTTAGTTTAGAATAGTACAATGGTAAAAAATCTTAGGCTTAGATGAAAAAGAAAATATTAAATTCAAATCTCGGGTATGCTATGGACACATTTGCTGAATGGACCCATGTCAAGCCATAATGTGATTTATTTGCTTTGGTATAATACAATGCATGAATCTAACCATTGTGGTTTGATATGAACCATTTATGGTATACTCTGGCTTGCAGATCAAATTATGACTGACTGAGCATTTATGATCAGTAAACTTATGTAAAGCATGGGTTAGTATAATATGTAGATTAGCCATTGGATGGATTCATACAATGAAACAAACTATAATATGGATTGTTTGATTTTGGGTGTGTCAGTTCCCAAACTATTTTCCTGCTAATAAAGATAGAGCTTTCTGGACCCGTTTCCTGCCTAACAGGGCATGGTAAGGTCTGACATCTTCTTAGTTATGATGCATAAACTTGCTTGTAGTATGCCTCTGGCCACTTAAGTTTACTTTTATTCTCAAACTGTACAATGAAAAAAATCTGATTCACAGTACTATAACTAATTAGGGGGGAAACCTTTATTAACCCTGATCTTTAGACCTAAACCATGCAATATTTCAATGTTAAAATGCACTATTAATTTGATCGTCTGAATTTTATTCTGGATTGTATTAATGCTGAATACAACAGTAGAAAGGAGAGCCTTAATTGTTAGTAGGATTTGAAACAACACTGTATTTGGCATCAAAGAAAGGTGAAGGGATGTAGCTGCTAAGTTCAGCTGCTGTTTTAGAAACATTGTCCTTGTGAGATGCCTTCCTCCTACTGCACTAGCTAAATGAAGTTCAGATCAAATGAAGCTTTGAAAACATTGTGCATAGCAATCTCATGAAAGAGTATAACTATTCCTTTTGCTTTATCTGGTTATTTATTTACTTATTTGCTATCCCACCTTTATTTCTCAAATCAAGACAGCAAACATATCCAAAACACCTTCCTCTTCCCATTTTCCTCATAACAGCAACCCAGTGAGGTGATTTGGGCTAAGAGTGAGTGACTGGCCCAAGACCACCCAGCTGGTTTTCCTGGCTAAGGCAGGACTTGAACTCACAACCTCCCACTTTCTAGCCTGGTGCCTTAACCACTAAACCAAACTGGTTATAAAACTAATACAAGCTTATGAAAGGGTTCTTTAAGATAATGGGGAGAATGAATATATATATATATATATATATATATATATATATATATATATATATATATACACACACACATACATACATACATACATACATACATTGCTTACTGGTGTACACCGCTTAGAGAGTGATTGCACTTAAAGCGGTATATAAGTCTCATAAATAAATAAATAAATAAATAAGAATAAGGCAAAGCAAAATATGTATTAAAATGCAAAGTAAGGTAAAAGTGGTGAACTCTTGATCCTTGGTGATTACATGGACATGAGTAACAGCATGGTACTGCTTTGGCATTAGTATCTTCTCCAAATTTAGACTACAGCCTGCCCTTTTCTGGTGATTTCCCAGCCAAGGATTACTCCGGTTAGGGTTAGCCTGCTTTGGTTTTTCTAATGCCAGGCAGTAAGTTTAGGGTTGAACACATCTAAAATGCAAAATAAATGTTCAAATATTGTAGGTTCACCTTTTTTTTAAAGAAAAGACAAGGGTTAATTGTGATATGAGGCATCCCTGATTGTAGGAAACCCAGGGGGAAAAGCAACTGTGTTGTAATACTGTAAAGATTTTTTTACAATTTAAAGCAGATCCCTTAATACAGTACTAAGAAACTTGGTTCTACCCCTTTCTCTGAGAATATGAAAGCACTTAGTGATTTTATTATCTTTGCATCAGTCTTGTGGGGTAAATTAAGTTATAAAAGAGTTGTTTGCCTAAGGCTGCCTAGAGACCACATGGCATTAAAATTAGGTGAGTTGTGTTCAAAGCTAACCTCTGTTGCAAAAATCCAACTGATTACTATAATAGGTAAGTTGTTTTTCCCTTCCAGCTGTTGACTCATAAGAAGATAAGGAGTCAGTTAATTCTCACATGTAGTTGTAAAGGTAGATCTATTACAGTAGATATGCTGTATTCCACTGATTTTCTCAAGATGTTAACAGAGGTATCAAAAAAGAACTTTGCTTTTCCAAGAAAGGACAATATTCCCTTCCTAGGATACACATTTACTCTTTGTGCAATACATTTTTCCAGCCTGTACAGCCACCTCCCTTATATGGATTAAAGACTTAATCTTGGGCTTGATACAAGCATGTACTCACAGCACAAGCTCTCTCCACGGAACATCCAGGAATGGCCTGGATTTAACGAGGTTAACTCAGCAAAAATAAGAGCGCTAACGCAGATGGTTTGTAGAGTGGGTGTGCGTGGGGAGCTGACACTGGAATTCCAGATAGGCTGGGGTGCTTGCTGCTACAGCTGTGGGAATAAAACTTTGACCTCTGCTGCATTCTAATTTAAAATGTGCTGCTCCATCACACTTTTCTGTTCAGTTTTTTTCTCCTTCTTGGGCACTAAGTAGCTTGGGTGAGAATGGGAAAATGAGTTGATATAGGAAACAGCGTTGAATGCATTTTCAGTATTTTCACTGCAGAAATATGATTCTTGGGGATTTCGTCCTTTACTTATCATATTCAATAAAGCATATGCCCATCATCAACACTAAGGCAGTGTTTTCAACCTAAGCAGCTTTAAGGTGAGTGGACTTCAACTCCCAGAATTCTACAAACAGCATGCTGGCAGGGGAATGCTGGGAGTTGAAGTCCATTCATCTTAAAATAC